CCTTCGATTCCGGTGAAAAGATGCTAAGCTTTCGTCCGTCATGTGACGAACATCATCAGAGCAAGGTATCCTCGTCACAACCAAATTCGAGCTAACGAGTCAAGCAAACTGGTATGACGAACGAAAGCTTAGCACCTTTCCACCGGAATCGAAGGAGATTGTCTCGGAAACAGCGTCAGCATGAATCTTGCAGTAAAGCCAATCGACAGCTGGTCAAGAGGATTCCGTCGTCGTCTTCTGGTGGAACCGAGCTTCGAATCTCTTTATCCTACTTGCCACCAATTGGAGCCAATAACTCGAGGGTCAGTTTTCTTGACTCACTAACTTTCGCAGGAATCGAACGAGGTTGCATTGAGCGCCGTACCAACCAGAGCGTACTAAACGATGCAATAGAATACACTGTCGTCTGCTGATGGGCTCGGCATTCGAGGCTGTTAACCACCCAATTGGACTCGAACTTGAAGGGAGCCCAACAATTGACATTCAGGAGGTTCCTTGAATACCAACTTTGCTTTGTATCATATTCTTTTTGTCTACTACAGATCGCCAACCAAGGTCAACCGGCGGTAGGAGGCTTGGGGCGCTGAATGTGAACCGTTCTGTGCAAAAGAAGGTGTCATGTCATTTTGTGAAAAAAACACGCACATACCACGCCGCCATGTCAGAAGACGGTCAGAAAGATGTACCCTCTGGCGGAAGGGTCAGACTCGAAGTCAGCACAGCCATTTCTTCCTGCCTCTGCCGTCTACTGTAGTGCTGGCAATTCATCCTATTCACCTCACCTTCTCAAGGGTAGTGGAGTAAGAGCGTCCTCTTTGAAGGCAGTGCCAGCTCAATGGGTATGGGCTGTAAGGGTGCACACTTCAAGGATGTTTGCACTTTAAATCTTCACATCCTTTGAGTAGACGGGCCAGTTGTAGATACCAGCAACTATTGACTCAAGTTGACAGATCACAATGAGTTATATAATGTAAACAATTGACAAACTATACATTTTTTAATTGTATAAAACCGTCATTACTTGGCTTCGCCTGGTACCTCTAAAATAAAAAAATTGAACCTAATAAGTAGAAAAATACAAGTTTATGCATCAAACTGTCTTGCATTCTGACCATTTTTTTATACAAGGTATAGGATCTACCGAATCGCAAAATGCAGGAACTTGCCTAATCGGAATAACTGAGGCGTAAGGCCAGGCGTGGAGATAGAAATGGTTTTTTGGGTTGATGGAGAAC